AAGAGCTATCATTTGTTGAGCTACCAGATGCGTCATTGTCACTATCACAACCTTCGAGATGGCAAAATTGAGATGAAGATCTTCAAGAATGACATGTTCTTCCTCAAATAGATGGCAAGATATAATACATTTGGTACGACGACCTTGGAAGGAATTCCTAGTATTTGTAATACTTTTGGAAATAGGAACCACTCTTGATGGTATTACTAATATTTTATTTGAAAGAAGTTATGAAGGCCTCAATAATAATAAAATATTACAGTGGTCTTTTTGTCCTAATATGAGACATTATCGATGGTTGAAAGAACCTATCAACTACGTTCAAAGAAAATAAAAATTAGAGTATGTGACAAATACAGTTTGGTACATCTTGGACTTCATCAACAAGTAATCACCACTCCTCATAGAACTCGTTCTTAGAAGGAGAGATAATATCACAAATATACATATTTATCCTAATAATTATTTTGATAATAAGAACAGATAGAAATAAATTAAAATAGATAAATATAATAATATCTTGTAAAAAACTTCTTAAAAGCTTCATAGACATTGCTTTGTCTTTATACATGTCTATATGTGATTGGTAGGTTGAAAACTTAGCCAACAAGGAGGCCATGTATCAACATGTTGACTACTTATAGGACAAGTTGGACATATAGTGCACACCTAGGGAACTTACTTTGCAAATTAGACATATATTCTGCAAGTTAGATGCGTATTAGAAGTCCTATAGTATGTCGCCACATGGTTCTTAATTAAGTAGTATACATAGAGGCAAGAGTGAGGCCTTCCTCACTCTTCTCAATTCCTTTCTTCCTTTTAGTCTAGTTTCAAGAGTCTTATGTTTTCTAGTCTTAGGCAATAATCATTCTATTTCTTCAATGAATATATATACTTTCTTTTATTTTGTCACTTTCCTTTTGATATAAATTCCATAAGTTTATATATCTTCTTTCACTTTGTGTCTTTAACAAATAGTAGTAGAAAAAATAGTAGAAGGCTAAGAATGGACAAAATAAGTCATACAAGAATACTGAGATGACTTTCCAACTGACATACTTATTAGCATGCGTCTTGATTGAGATGCCTCTTTTCAAATAAAACTATTTCCTAGAGCCAAAAGAGCAAGTAGACCAATTTATTGCCTAAGATAAAATGAACTTGAAAAGCTGTGAAAGACATTGCATGAACTCTTGAAATAGGGCCTCATTTGATAAAGCACATCACCATAGGGATCATTTGTATTCCTTGCATCCAAAAAGGATGGTTGACTTTGACTTTGCATCAATTATCAAAGCTTCAATAAGTAGACCATTAAGATTATATATCCACTTTGATGTGTGGATGATCTTTTTGATTAACTTTAAAGTGTGACCATCTTTAGCAAATTGGATCTTTGTAGTGGCTATTAGCAAGCACCTATTGCTAAAGAGGATATAAAAAGATGGTATTTTACATGCAATATGGACATTTTGAATGGTTTGTTTTACCTTTTGACGTGACCAATGCTCCAACTTCTTTGATGGGTTACATGAATAAATAGTTTGGAACCTTTTAGACAAGTATGTAGTTGTCTACATTGATGATATCTTCATATATAGTAAAATCCCTAAGGAGCATGAGCAATACCTATAAGAAGTACTATGCCAACTATAAGATAATTGCTTTTATTACAAGCAATAGAAATATAAAATTTAGGAGTCAAAAGTCACCTTTTTGGAGCATGTAGTGTCTTCCAAAGACATGCATAAGGAACAAGATAAGATGAAAGTAATAAAAGATTGACCAATCATCAAGGATGCTTCTAAAGTCACCTCATTTTAAGGCCTTCTTAGATATTATTGCTATTTTTTTTGATAATTTGTAGACATTGTTGTCTCATTAACAAACTTATTTGAGAAAGGTGCTCCATTTGAATGGAAACTAGAGCAGTAAAGCACCTTTGATAGATTGAAAGAGACCCTCATTACTGCTTCAATATTACAATTGTATGATTCCAACCTTTCTTATATACTTGACATTGTTGCTTTTGACTTTGCTATTGGAGTGGTCTTTCAATAAGACTTTGGTAGGAGCCTTCAACATGTGGCATATGAATCACACAAGCTCAGAAAGATAGAGAAGAATTACTCTACATGTGATCAAGAACAATTATTGATTGTACACGCTACAAAGATGTGGCGACACTATCTATTGAAGAAGCATGTATTTATTTGGACTAACCATCAACCTTTGCTACATAATTTGTATTTAGAAAATATAAAATCATGACATCATTATTGGAAAGAATAGTTGCAATTTTTTGATATCCAACTTGAGTACAAGCAAGGACAACAACATATTGTGCCAAATAGCTTATTGAGATACCAAACTTAAAGGCCAAATTGAGAGACAAGTCAAAAGTCCCTACTATTAGTAGTGTCATTTCAAACCTAATCAAAGAGGCAGAATAGAAGGAAGCTATGCATCGGGATGCTTATTTCAAGATGATTAGTGATTAGATGAAGGTGGACAATATATAATATCAAGATTATAGTCTTAATGATGGCTTGTTCTATTTCAAGAAGCAAATTTCTGTACATGATAATGGTATATTCCATATGCACATACCTAAAGAGAGATATAATATCCCAATATCTGGACATCTAAGGCGAGATAAGATTCTAAAATAGATCTCAAGCATATGATTTTGGACCAATTTGGATTGTGATGTTTGAGCTTTTGTGTACTCTTATGAGTCATGTCAATATTATAAAGCATGCAACATAATATCTTCTAAATTATTATAGTCAATTCCACTATCTATAGCACATTGAGAGCAGGTGACTATAGATCTTATTATGTATTTACCGCAAATGACTTATAATTATATTGTAGTTGTCATTTTTGTAGATCGATTCTTAAAGCAACTTCACGTGGCTATGGTATGCTAGGATATTGATGCACATGTCTTTTTTGATACTGTCTTTCATCTTCATGGATGCTTCATGTCATCGTTTCAAATTGAGATCCATGCTTCACGGGAAGTTTTTGGCAAGCCTTGTTCAAGCTACTAGGTATACGACTTGCCATATCTACAACCTTCCATCTCCAAACAAATAGACAAACAAAGTTAGCAAATCAGACCTTAGAAGATATGTTGTAGACATTTGTGGTAGTTCATCATAATTACTAGGATGATTATTTGTTATCTTTGGAATTTGCTTCAATGATACTATTCAAGCATGTACCGATCATTCACCATTTTTCTTAATACTGATTAGCATCTGATTATCCTAGCAACTCTCTATCATCTCATTGATATTAACAATCCAACAATGAAGGAATTTATACAATGACTTATAACGACCTTACAAGAGGCACAATATTGCCTTCTTATTGTACAGAATTGACAAAAGCAATATGCAAATAATCACTAGTAATATAAGACCTTCTTGGAGGGTGATCAAGTGTTACTTTCCAACACCGACTTGCCACTTGTTACATCAATCCAAATCCATAAAGTAGCACCTCAGTGGCTTGGACCTTTTTACATTTTTGCAATGAATTCTAATGTCTCATAGTGCCTCAAGCTTCCGCCACATATTCAGGTCCATCTAGTCTTTCATGTTTTGCAATTAAAAGAATTTCACATGGAGCCAAAGCGCTTTCTGGATTGATACTAATCACCACCACTACCACCAATTATAGTTGATGACCAACAAGAATACGAAGTGGATAACTGTTTGGAACATTGCTACCTTAGCTATAGAAGTGGATGTCCACAACTTCAGTACAAAGTTCTTTGGAAAGGTTATCCCATCTATAATACAACGTGGAAACCTGCACAAAACCTCACCTATTGCCAAGAGATAATTTGAAGATACCATGAGGAGCAAAATAAGAATGTTCCGCATTAAAGGAGGAGGATTAACTGTAATAGGATATAAATAAGATATTTGCGTTGTTGACACATAGAGATAGATAATTGGAACCATGTTTGAGAAGTTATGGAAGTTTTTAGAATTGCGGCTAGGTTAGTGGACTATGTGGGATCCATCATGGAATATTCTAAAAAGAACTTAAGACAATTATTTATATAAGGTCCACCATAGAACCTTCTAGAAAGAATTTAGGACGATTATCTAAGTGAGATCCATCAACTAAGAACATTCTAGAAAGTCTATGGTAGTAGAACAAAGTATAAGTAGGACTTGTTAAGGCCTTTTGGAACATCTGGTCAAGTATGGCTTTGAATCTTTTTTCTTAATAAAATTTGATTTTACATTTTCTTGTTTAATTCAGTTCTGTTTTATTTTCATTTGCTCAATTTTGTCTTCGTATCCTATTCTATTTAGTTTTATTCAATTTTGCTCTAATCCATTTAGTCCTACTTTGTAATGAGGTTTTATATTAGTATGGATTAGAAGGATCTTAGATTCCAAGATAGATTAGTCATGTTTCATTGTATGAGCATATCAATTGCTTCATAACAAATGTTTATGTGCCATAGTTCTTTTTATCTAATCCATCAATGCAATAGTTAGTTGAAAATGATGTTATTGCCAAGATAACCAATACAATAGCAATAAGCAACAAGATTCTTCAAGAACAATAAATCCTATATTAGCAATAGAAGAACAATCAATAAATATTACATAAAATACAATAAAAAAAAAAGGTAGTAATATCAAGGTATGATGAAAAAAAAAAAAATCTTTAATTGTAGTAATAAGTTTTAGAACCAATAATTTTAATAAGATTTAGCAATAAAGTAAAGCTTTAGTAGTAGAATAGTTGTAAGGCTCTAACAACAATAGCAAGTCAAAAATATTCTGCAATAATAATTCACTTGCAAAAAAAAACATTTGACAAATTTTATCCATTATTATTATTCATCTAAATACTTTTATTCATAACTACTATTCATTTGAGATACTTATTCATTCACAACTTTTACACCATGTTACAAAATAAAGACATTCATTTGAAGTTCCAAATACAAATGCACCAAAACAAAAAAAAGAATAATACTTTGTGAAACTTTGATTATATGTTGGACAAATCTGAGTTTATAATACAAATCTTACAATACTATTCAATGACATAAGTTGCTTTTGTTATTGTTACTTTTCCAATTGAGAGTTGAGTGTTTATAAATATAACAATGCATCAATATCTCTAATTAGACAGATGTTGTGAATATTCGTGTCAAGGGTAAGGTCCTTTGTGTGGATTTTGAGTGTGTTTGGGATACGCCTTCGACTCACTTCGTTTCCAATACCGGATGTAGTAATCTCTAGCCCCGTCAGCTCACCTCGTGAATATCGATGCCGACAACTCCCGAAAGCAGTGAAACACATGGTGATTTTGCTGACAGAATTGTTAGGTTGCGTTCTTTCTGTTATATTCTTTTGATTTAATTTTTGTGGTAAGAAATCGATTCTACATACGTTGAAATGATCTACATGTTAGATTAATCCTAATCATTTTGAAGCACAGAATTAACAAAGATTCAATTTGAAATCTTACCTGGTGTAGGTGAAAATGAATACGTTGCAGTCGGCCTCAATATAATCACTACACCCAGAGCCATAAAGTATGGAATTCATCTCAGAGTGGGAACTTGCAATGGAGTAAAACGACCACAAAGCAAGCAACGAAATTCTTTCTGATCCTTAAGGGAAAGTCTTCGTTCACACAAAAATTTCAGTTCTTCATGATCTAGAGTTCAGGAATCAGAGATACGTTAGTCAAAGTCATCTGCAGATGAGGGCGATACCTAAGGGCATCAGCATACAAAGCGTGACGCAGGGCGTAAGTGATTGAATCAAACTCCAGCGTCAAAATAGTACATAGGAGGTGCGCTAACTGCAAGAGCTAACTCAAGGAAGCAGGTACAAGGCTGTACTGACGGAATTCCAAACGGAGATGAGGAATTGATCAAAACCAGAAAAGGTGTTCAGAAGCGCTCGGCTTACAAATTCGAGAAGCTGCGACACTGAGCAAATTCTGGATTTTTTTGGCACCGGGTGCGACTGGCTCTCCCATCGTCGACAGCAATCACCACCATTACCGCGGCAAACAAGGAACCACCGAAAGGAACCCTGGGGATACGCAACGACACGACTGTACAACACCCAACATCGAAACTTAAGAAATGCCGCCCTCCAAGCACAGCAACTCTGTCGAGACCACACCAAAGGCCATATTCTCCCGCTGGTGTCGGTGAACAGGTGGGGACAAGAGTCCAGGATCCACGCAGCCAGCGGGATCGCCGAATGCGGGATGCAGCTGCAATCAACACTGATAGAAGAGAATCGTGATGGCAGGCTCCTGCAGGGCGCGGATTTCCACGGTGGTCCCACGGGGAGGGGAATCATTTCCATGGTGCTAGCACTGAGGGAGGGCACAGCTGAAGACACGAAGGAAGGTCCATAGGGCGATGGATGCGATGAGCATGAGCTGGGACTGCGCTGGAAAGATGGCTTCAGTCAGTCACGTTTGCAAGTGGAACCCAAAACCTGCGGGGACTCGGCGCCGTGAGAAGAAGGTGGGGTTGGTTGTTGCGGTGCCAAAGCAAAGCAAAGCTCCAGCTGCGGTGACGACGACATCCTGACAAGTTCCGCTTGTGTGCTTCGGTGGTGTGCGACACAAACACTGAATCTGCAATAAGCATTTGTATTTGGCTTTTGTGTTGTTGGCTCTTTACATACACACCAAGGGAGGAACTCACCCCACTCAGCATTTATAATACTCGCACATATCCAAACCATCTTAGTGTGGATTTGTATGTTGTGACATTGTAATCAATTTTATATTTAATTATTTAATTAAATTTTATAAATTTTATTCTGTTTGTTAAGTCTCATAAACCTACTTCTCTGAACGATAGTCAAATTCATATTCATATATATATATATATATATATAAATTAGTATTGCAATTGGAGCAAAGTAAAATATTGCATTTTGAGCAATTTTTTATTTTGTTCTATTGATTTATTGTGTGCTTTTGTGCATATTTTTTGCCACTCATTCGTCTTTTACATTCTTACTTCTGAGTCCCTCATGTTTTGTAGTCTTTATTTCATCTATATATTACTAATTCTTGCCAAATCTTATTTTGCTACTTGACATCGTATATAAGATTATTTAGTAGTAGAAGCAAACAAGAGTCTAATTAGCAATTGGATCATATGCTTCCATTTTTGTTTTTTATAGTATTTATAAGAAAATTCTATTAAGAATCATTAAAATAAACTAACATAGATATTTAGAAAGTTTTCAACTGAAGAAACAAGTAAAATCCTTAGTAGAAGAAGATTTAGTTTTAAGCAAATATTAAGCATTACTATTTTCTAATTACTGTATAAGGCCAAATTAGAAGCATCTTTTAATAAAAGTTGTATTTTTTTCACAAATGACAATAAATTTGAATATCTATACATATTATGGTAGATAAAAGATGTTTTTTTTTTTTTTTTTTTTTTTTTTTTCAGTTTCTTTTGAAATAGTTTCAAAATTAAACATTTATTTTTAAAAAAATTAATCAAAGATGTAAGGTTGCTAAATATGTCTCTTTTAACTATACTACTCTTATATTCAAGCACTAATTATAATTAGTTAAAATCTATTATAATTAATCAAAGTTGTAAAATTATCTAACTCTTTTGGTCATAAAATTAAATTTAATATCTATGTCAAATTTGATCAAAGATACAAGATTAGACAACATTTTTTTTGTAATTAGTTAAGATTAAATATTCTAATATAAAAAAATCATTCAAAGATATAATAGTGTTTAATTCTTTTAGTAATGATGTAAAACTTGGATACTTATACATATTAACTTATATGAAAGAAATAAAAATTTCAAACTTCTTTGACAATGATGGCAAACTTAAATACCTAGCCATACAATAATTAGTAAAACAAAATTTAGATTGTCTAATTCTATTGACATTGATGTCAAATTTGAGTATCTACTTATATAAAATTAAACCAAGAGATACAATGTTATTCAAATATTTTGATAATAGTATTAAACTTAAATGATAAATTATGTTAAAACTAGTTAAGAATTAAATTGTTAAAATCATTCAATAATGATGCCAAAGTTTATCATCCATGCACACAAAAATGAATCAAAGAATTAATTTGATACAAATTTTTTAGAAGTAATATTATAATCAAGCATGTTTTATATTTTATGTTTTAAATAGAAAATACAAGATTTTTCAATTCCATTAGATATGATATGACATCTAAAAATTGATTTGTACTAAGATGTTCCTAAGAATTGATTTTTTCATGATTGAAAAAATTTCATCAAGTTTAAAATTTTTTATAAATTTAGATTTGTTTATAAAGTGAATCAACACATCCCTAGATAATATTGTAAAGTTCTAACATCCTTATGAATTTATAATTATATTTTTTCTTTAATGATTTTATAATTAAAAAATTAAATTTAGATTTTTTTGGAACCATAAATAAGAATTAATGTGTAGCACAATTAAACTCTTACATTTTCTGTTAATACTTTATATACATATAATATACATAAGGTTTTTTTAAAATATTTTTTTAGATAATTGGCCTTATACAAATATTTTTAGAAAAACCTATCATAATATAGATAATTAACCATTAATATAGATTTCTTAGATAGTTTAATACAATCTTCAGATATACTTATTCTAATTTTTGAGCTTAATGATTTTAAAAGAAATAAAATAAATATTTCTATTCTAATTACTTATAATATTTTTGTAATTGTTGTAATATATTCTTTTTAGTTTTATAACATAATATAAACAAAAAAGAATCTAAAATTAACACAATTATAATATGTCTATGACTAAAAAAATCAACAATCATAAAATAGCTTCCATCAGTATATATATTATAACACCAACTAATCATCTAAAGTCATTACATGCATCTTTTTCTTTATTATTACTATTGCTAATTCTGCATACAAGTTTTAAATAAGATTCAAGTTAAGTATCTTTGTTAAAAATCCTAAAATTGGCATTGTAATATAATACAATATTTTCTTAAGAAAAATCTTAAAACTTCTTTTGCTTTCTCTAAAATATTGATTGCATTTGAGATTTTTATGAAATGCAATAACAAATGATATAGTAATCAATCTTTTGAATAAAATTAGATATATCATATATGTGTTATATACGGTTGAAAGTAGATTTTCATATTTATTGTTTCCCTATTCTACCCATTCTGACAAGACACAATATCTTTATTTCTCTATTCAATAGTTAAATTATTTTTTATTGTAGTTTTTATTTTCTTTTTGGATTTTTTATTTTTTTTACAATGTGATTTTTATTTATTTTTATTTTTCTTTCAAATCTAACTAAATAATCAATCTATGACTCCGGGATGGGAGGAAAGGCACTGACAAGCTTTTCCCACTCGGAGTCAGTCATGTTTGATGTAGAATTTTTTGTGCAATACCTTGACCTCAACACACCAGGAACAACACCTCTTGATAGAGTTGGTTGCTGGGTGAATCTGGGCCCCCTTTCTTGCAGATTACTGTCCTGAGGTACATCCATGAAACAGGAGACGTTGATACGTGTTCTCTTCAACTCGTTTGGAAGGTAGTCTGCAATGACATTTTCTGCAAGTACCTGCAAAAATCACAAGCATCAGGGAGGTATACAATGTTCAACTAGAAATATCATGAAAAATGAAATGGGTTAAGTGACTGAACCCTTTACCTGTATTTCCTCCTGTGACATGCTCACAAAACCCATGTCATCTCCATCATCACTGCTCGTGGACCTTTTTGAACCTAGATCGGATATGTCACCAACAGTCTCAAGAACCTCGTCAAGAAGCAAGCTCCGACATTGAAGTGCTACATCCCGGGCAGGTGTAGTTAGATATCCTCCGAGTACAGCTTCAATATATTCAATCTGCATTTGCATATATTTTTCAATGTAATTTGAATGAAATTTTACAAAAACACCGAGGGCATTTCGGTTTCGTAAAAAAAAGGTAGATATGTATCCTAGATGACAGCAAAGACAAGGGAAGCAAGCTCCCTATGCATAATTAATTCGACAAATTTTCCTGATTTATGAACGTAAAAGCTAATACTATGAGTAACTAATACCTGTTAATACACTTGAACAATGAAAGAATAAATCAAATGTACCTCGAGCATAAGCTGGCAGTATCCTTGAACATCAAGAGATTTAAGAACCTTCCTCTTGTTCACTATGAAGACTTTGAGCAATGCGTCCATGAGTTCTACCGATAGATGTTTTATCACCTTGTCTACAAATATTGCAGCCATTGCACATACCTGTTCGAACAAAACATGCTTTGAGTTCTTTTACATCAACTATAGTATCTACCAGTGATGTAAATCAATCTGCTTATCATGAAATTTGTGATACGACTCCCTACGTATAAAGCAGCTCTAAATTTCCACGCAATTCGAGGCACCATCATTTCTTTTAATGAATAAATCCCATTTATAGAGGAAAGCATTAAAATCTACACTGATGTTTGTCCATAGTACTGGAAAGATCGGTCGCTCCAATGGAAATGCAACATACAATCTCAAATCATTGAGACACGGCAGTGGAAACATCGACCTTAAGACTAAGAATTGCAGAGGTGCAACCAACCTCAGCATGAACGGAAACAAGAGGATTAAGCAACTCCACCACTGCATCTCGTATGCCCTGAAAAGAATCACCACATTTATAGGCTGCATGGTAATCGTACAGTTACAAGACAAGGACAAATTTTCGACCATAGTGCAGTAATCGAAACGATAATTTGAATAGTGATTATGTTCAATGCACGAATGCTTTAAAAACAACCCTCGTGCTAGAGAGCGCTACTAAACTTCAAAAAGTAGGAGTTTACCTTCACCGGTGGGGAAGTAGACCAATGTGTCCCATCATTTAACAGGAAATCAGCAGCAGCTTTTCCAACAGATGTCCCCTGCCATTCAAACAACCAGTCAAACTATGTTGTGGGTTCGACTGGAATAAGCTTAGCGCACCCGCCCAAGTACCACTAGACCGAATCGATTACGTTGGTGGAGCCCTAATTAGTGCCAGAACACTATGAGGTCTGGTGTTGAACCTTTACATATTCGTATCGGTTGAGAATCTTGATTTCCAAAGATGAAAAACTGACTGACACTTCTTCTGCTGTCACTTGACTGTCCCCAGATCTTATTTCCTTCTGCTCGTCCTTTCTGCCAATGCACATCCGAAGTCTTTTCAGCGGCAGTCATCAACAACAGAGTGTTTCATCCTCGTGTCAGCTCTTTGAGGTTTGAAGCTGAGTAAGATTTCCGACGGAGCGAATACAAGAGAAAAGTCCCTAACAAATTCATACTCTGACTATCATCTACTTACCCCACATTAAACCAAATCTGTTGGTACTTTCTAGAAAGCTCAGGCAGGAGGAGTGTGTTGCAAAACCCAGCGTTACTGAGCAGCACCAGCAAGCGCTGATGGTGATCACTCACTTCATTTCTAGCGATGAATGTCGCAAACCTCCCTGGCCCTAATTGTTCTTGATCGATTTCTGTTTCGGCATTTTCATCTGGAAGAGTTCTGAAGAGCTCATATTCTAGCCGTTCCATATTCTCTGCAAACCAGTGATTGGAATTCTATTTTCTTTTAATGAAACACATTCTTCAAACTCATTATATTCTCTCACTGATCATCAGACAAAGATAGAATCAATGCAATACTATGAGACAAATAAAGTAAACATTTCCTGAAATATTCAAAACTAACCAGCAAGAGTGCGAAAACACATAAAAAAAGTATGCTGAACGTTATCTTGCATTTGCTGGAGCTGATAAACCATATCCTCGTGCTGAGGAGTTTCCTGTTTCAGCCTGTCCAGCAACCTAAGAATCAAGACATTGAATGAGTCCAGAGGACATTTTTATTCCATACTTCTAAGAATACGACAATAAGGTAATAATACTCAAAGGCGAAATATTGGTTTCAGATTGAACTTTACTCAGTTAGACGTTCCATAGTAGATTCAAGCATGTCCTGAAATCTGACAGGTGTACTTGAAATTGTAAAAGATGAACCGCCACGTTCAATCGGGCCTATAAGAATCCAATCCTCTTCGTTCACAAGATCTGCAGTGGCCATGTTCATGAAGGCACATAATCGCTGAACATATACTCTTGCCACTTCAGTCCGCAGCACTACCAGCATTTCAACTGCGAAGAGAAAGCACAAGTGCAACAGAAAGGCGAGACATTTCAGTTTAATAGGGACAAGGTAAACTTTCCTTGCCAGGGGAGAAAGTTCTTCACATGGGTCTTACAAATGCACATATGTCAAATGCTAACAGTCCACCTCTCTAACATGTACTGTATTCTCGCTTCTTATTAGTTCGCAGAAAAACAATATTTCAAGGTCTACCTTTACAATACTTTTTCAATAGTAACATGGCATCCGAGGTTCTGAGGAGAAGTTTACATGCACGTGCAGGAACACAACGTTTACCCTCTAGTGTTACACAGGCCTTAGAAATTTCTGCTACTGCTTGCAGCATGTATGGACAAAGAACATTCGCTCCTGATAGAGCAAGAAATGCAGTCTTGACCTGGTAAACAATATAAACAAGGTGTTTTCATCATTGTCTAACAATGTATATGCATAACCTATAATGTGCACGCTGTGTACCATGCATGTACATGAACAGCCACTGCTTAAGTCAAGATTTTTTTCGACAATTTTCAGACTCAGGGTAGTACCTTCGACTCATATAGAGAAATGATGAAATGGATCATGGTAATGACTTCATCAAGAGAATGAGAGATGAAAATTGGCTTCGGAACATTTCCAAAAGTATAACTCCCACTCTCACTGTTTAAGACACTTCCCAACTTTCGCATTTCCAGGCTTCCAACTGTAACCTGCAAAACGTAAGCTCTCATTATCCCAGCACTTGTGATTCATTATTAACTGTATTGCTTGGCAGTTCTTGGCCTTAATATGTGTTAGCTGCAAAGTCCTCCATCATTACCACCAGGCTCCTTTGCTGCACGCATCTGAAATGGATTGTTCTGTTCCCTTACTGACTAGCATTTCATTGAAGGGGAATGTGAAGTGACCCATCACAATCTGGTAGTAATAATCTTAAGAACATAACAAGCACGTCCATCACGAAACAATTAGTCATCATGGATACAGAATTTGAAGTTGAACATGAGAAGGTCAAAACAAGAACTGATCTTAGAGAAAATATTGTTGTCCGGCCTTGTTACAGCAAGTAAATACCTTGTAGAAACTCCCATTAAAGACAGAGATCGCAAGACCCCAAAAGCTTGGCAGGTGTGTCACGATAATAGCCGTGAGTCGCCGAATCAGCAGACTCAAAAGTGCATTTGGTTCACGGTCAGTTGAATCTTCGATACTGTTTCGGCCTTGCTCCGAGTTCTTACTGCCTAAAAGCAGGTTAAAATCTACATCTGACTGCGAGTAAAACATTGCATACTTGAGTCTATATGTTGCAACACGAACCGCCATAAAAGATAGGACCATAGTAATCGACTTCACTGGTCACATGTCATCAAAGAAACAAATTTGTCGGAACAATTCTCAACCTGTTTGTAACTTCTAAAGTAAATACATCCTTTTGGGTACAACATGGTGAGGATTCACTGACCCCCTTATTTCGTTCTCGCTGAAGTTGCTTCCAACGTGCATCTGACTGGGCCCGCTGTCGAACACGACCAACAAGATCCTTCATGCGAGCTTCGTGCTCTAAAGTACATCCTTCCAGGAGCCCTCGAATTCTACGATCCTGTTGACATGAGTTAGAAATTGCATAACTAGAGATGAACATCAATGAGATGCATAACTAGAGATGAACATCAATGAGATGCAGTAAGTGGAGATCAAATCCAGTAGAGACAACATTGTCAACGAGGATAGTCAAAAGACACGGACAAACTTGCTGCGATCGAAGAAACCACTAATATAACTCTTGAGATTTAGTCTTCTAAAAAGTGAAGCGGGGAAGAGAGACGATACCTGAATGGTGAGATAATGCCAAAGAAGGTCTGAATTTGGTTCAAGCTTCAACAAGAGCCGAAAAGTGTTCTTCAACTACACACACAACAAAAAGGCCCTAAATCAATCACAAGTATCTTAAGGACAGGCCTTGAGGATGACATACTTGCAAGGCAGCAACGGGATCTTCACCTGCTCGCACTAAAGATTGAATTCATCGGGAGTAGTAGCAATACAACCTGAGAAAGCTCCAGATGAGGATCCTCCATCCTCTTGTAAAGCATCTCTGCGAGTTCCTGAATAATTATTTTAACCTCTTTCAGCACCCTGCCGAAAATACCAACCTGCAGAAACCTTTGATGCAAAAATCTCAGGTGCATGATAACTAGTACATAATTTCACTACTTCGTAAAATCGAATCAAGCTCAGCAAATAAAGAAACTGAAGTCGCAAGAACCCACATGTGAATATAACGCCAATGATTTAGCTTTTTCGTACTCTCGAATTGCAAGGCCGAATTCACCCTTTCTGATATCCGATCGAATAACCATAGGCAGGTTGAAAAGAGTTCTAAATCTCTTGAGCATTCGTTGAACTGATCTGGTACGCTCAGCTTGAGACTGCATAATCGTCCCGGAAGTTAACATATTGCTGAGGATGAAGAACCCGTACTTAATAGGTTGATTCCACCGTAAGTTATGGTACCTTCTCAAGGAACTTATGATTCTATAGTGTACAAGGGTCAGAGAATTTCTATGAGTCTACTCTAAGCTAACACAAATTAGCAGACCTTAGACTTCCACGAAAGTGTGCTTGGAGAACAACATGTCTCTCGGGTTAAATGTAGCAAGTCGATGAAAAGTGAACAGTGTGTGTGGACCTGTAGTTCGAGGAGGGGTGCAAATGCTCGCTTGGCAACAACAACGACTTCGGCAATGGCATTGTGAAGGTGCTCAGTTCCAGTACCCTCTTTGGCACACTCTATTTGTTCGAGCTTTGAATGTATATCTGTAAAAATTGAGTGAACGAGATTAGGATGGCTTCTTTATGTTCAAAGCTTTTTAGAGACAGACTAAAAACACGTTAATTATATTATTTTTAGAACCTCAGTGATTTTTATGACATCAACTGAGAATTCCTTCACTATGGGCACGACTAAAAAGTTGGTATCATATACACGTTCGCATTGTACTTTGTATCGCATTGCAGCATGTGCATTAGCAGTTGCTGTGTTTATTGACATTATTTTTCATCTTGCAGGTCAAAGATGATTCAGTCACTACCGTCAATGGTGTTTTTGCAGGAGATGAAACAATCAAAATTCTCTTTCACCAATTTCATTAGATTTTCTTTGTGACTTTGCAAATTTCCTTTCAAAGCATCCCCCGCAACCTCCAGATCATGCGCACTGGTATTCGGATGTATATGAACCAGGAAGAATCTTACGTCGAAATTCTCCGAATGAAAATCCACTTTCTCTGCACACAATAGAAAGTCACCCATGCGGTCATTTCAGAAGAGGTAAACATCAGAAGATATAGAATTGCACTCAGGGATTGGACTCGATCTACACACTAATGAAACATTGATGTGTTGATTATTACAGAGATGTAGGGACTAGGAAATAAACCAGCCGGAACTAGGACAAAAAATTCTAGCTTCAACAACCAAACACTGCATCACCAACAAATTATATATATATATATATATATATACATTTTTCAGCTTCTTATGCAGTAGGGATAGATCGGATCACTTTGTAGTCAACCGTTGAAGGGAGGCGGGTGACAAGAAATGCACCTCTGGTATTAAAATCTTTCATACATGAGAGTTCGGGGTGAGTAGGATCTTCTCCACATGTATTTCTTGTAGCGGTCGTCATATCATCCTTCTTGACTTCCAAGAGACCTCGTCCTATATCACTCCATTTATCTGTCCTAGGGAGAAGATTCTCCATCTTGTCTGTAGGAATAAGTGTCAAACTTCTGATGTCTATAAGACTGAAACAATGAAATGTTAGATTCAAGACATAGGACCAATGAGTTTAAGTAATATTTTCACGAAGATGCGAAAAAAGTAGTAATTTAACCTACCCCACAATGACTGAACGCTGTATGGACTCCTCTCCTCCGTACCAGTTTGTAGTCACATGGCCAAGAAAAGCTTGACGAAACAGACATCATCTAGTATGGGACACAAATGGAGGAAACGTAAACGTTTGTGCTACGCATACCCAAGCCCCAAGGGATCGACAAGGTCGTCTGCTTTAGGTACAACATCCAAAAAATTGGTTGACTTGCGCAACCGGGTTGCTGCACCATAGGAAGCTGGTGCTTTTCGAGTTTCTCGGATTTCCCGCACTCTTCGTGCTAACTGTAGTCTTACACATCAAGAAGCGGCTTCAGTACTTCCAAAACCGATTATTACAATTTGGATATATCTCACAGATATGACGAGCGTATGTCAGGTGATCGAAGTCCTCCCATCGTTCCTAAGAACAAACGTAACAATTTCTACGTGATTCTACAAGGAATTAATAGAGAGCAACTTGCTATCCTGCTTTCAAATCTTGTATTTTCAAGTACGCGTGATCATATCGCTCTTTCAACCTGAATTGCCACTGAGCAATACCTATGTTTCAGTTCTTCGCTCAAACATAAGCACTGCCCAAATTCGAGTAACCTGGCACAGGAACTTTCTGGAATTCAGACATGAAGCCGACGAGATCCTCCAACTTGCGACTTTTACAAGACTCTGAGAAGACCTTGGTAGTAAACTTGACACTCCTGGTGCAAGACTCGAACGTAAAAAACCAGTCAATTGGCTTCGACGGTGAAGGTGGCGAGCATTAACCTCTGCTTGATCAACTCCACCCCAAGTCTGAGGCTCTTCATCGTTGTCATACCACAAATCATCACTCTTATCGACCACAGCACCCTGCGCCTTCAACAGTTGATTACCAAGGACAATCGCACGAGGTGCCTTTGTCTCATCATCATCTGAAGATAAACTCAGCAGCTCCAGGTCCGATTCATCGTCCTTGGCAATTAATACTGCCTTTGGAGACGCTACCCTCCCCGCCGGGGCAGCAACCAGAGCTCCATTGACCCTCGGAGGCGCTCTCCTTGGCGGACCACCAACACTTTGCATCTGAGGAGGCTTTCTTCTTGGCGGTCCTCCGCGAGTCGGTGACGGAAGAATGTGTTTGACAACGCGAGACGCCTCGCATCTAGACGACCCTGAGGCCGCTGTCGACATGTTTGGAAGTGGCTGACTAAGCGGATTATTATTACTCACCACCCTGGATGCTTGCTCCGCCAACACCCGCGGCAAAAGCTCCTCGTCGTCCCGTACACGCTTCTACATAACACAAGGCTTCCTGCCACTACCTGAATCCCTTATTATTAAGCTCTTCTTGACCATAACCTACCTTGAAACGCCCTCAGAACTACGCTCTTCAGCACAGAAACAGCAACGTTAGTCCAAGAATCATGCGATGAATCAGCGACAATGCTACATAGATCTCCTTGCTCTGAAACTAATCCCGCCGCAACCGTCTTCTGAAACTCCAAATCAGAATGATGCACCTCAACATACAGGGCAATAAATGCATTCTCCATTCCCTTAGATCTGCTATACATGCCTACATCCGTAGACTGTAAACCTCGCTTAGGTCGCACAATAAAACGATACGATGCGAGACCGAACGTACGATTCCGTTGCAAGATAACAGAGGAGAGTGACTTCTGAAGCGGAAAGAATTGGTGTCGGAAGATGAAATTCGGGAAGACGAAAGGAGAGGCCCCGTCGATAGAGATGCCATGAAAGCAACACCACCACCACCAACACGATGGGATTGGATTCGGAGGGGAGGGGTGGAAGGTTAGCTACTTATACGATGGTTTTATAAGCACACGCCATTACTTCACTCATCGACTCCATTCACTACTCTAGAGTGTCTCTATGTGTCTATACATAAATAATTGTGTGCATATGTATGCATATATATATATTAAGAAATTTTTTTATTTCTAAATTTAAATTATAAATTACTATTTTTGTCTAAAATATATTATGGTATGATTGTAAATGAACATGATTGAAATGTTTTGTAATCACTACACATTAAATAGCATATTCAACTCAACAAATTGAATTACCAAGCAAGCTATTGAAATTGTTATAACTTTCAAGAAAATATGATAAAGATGAAGACTTTGAAAAACAAAATGTTGTTCCTCAAATAGATGAGAAGATACAACACATTTGGTATCACAACCTTAGAAGAGACTCTCAATATTTGGTGATATTATTATAGGTAGGAACTATTTTTTATTATATTTTTTATGTTTTATTTAAAATAAGTTATTAAAACCTCAACAATGATCAAATAACATAATAGTCTTTTTTTTTTTTTTAACTTAGTGTAGGAATTTATTAATGATTGACATGACTTATAAGTTTTTTTTAAAGAGAACCAAGTTCAAAATATGTATTAAATATAATTTGTCACATCTTATACTTTTTCAATATATGATCATTGTTCCTTATAGAACTTATTCCTAGAATGAGAGATAATGTCACAAACATCAATGATAATACTAGTAATTATGAAGGTAATAAAAATAAGGTAATCTAATAATATTTTAGTGAAAAAATGCCTAAAAGTTTAATAGATGCAAATTTGACTTTATATATGTTTGTAGATAATTAATAGGTTAAAAATTTGGCCAACAAGTTGACTACATGGCACACATGTTGAAAACTTATCTAGCAAGTTAGAGACTTATTACATAAGTTAGATTAATGTTGCATGAACTATAGAATGTTGCCATATAGCTCTTTAATTAGATAATATATAGAGGCAAAAGTAAGGCATACATCACTCTTATCAATGCTTTTCTTATTCATAATCTAATTTCAAGAGTTTCTAGTCCTTTTGTCTTAGACAATTGGCATTCTAGTTTCTTAAGAAAGACTTTTTTTTTTTTTTTTTTTTTTTTTTGTTGTTGTTATCTCAGACATGATTTCTAATTTGTTTCATTTATTTTCCTTCAAGTTCTTATTTTTGACTTTGAATAGACCAAATCTTAAGAATTTGGTAGAATAAGGGGAAAAAAAATCTCCTTCTCCATATAAAATGAAGAAGAGCAATGACCAATAAAAGTAAAAAAGGTCTAATCTCTATGACCCTCTTAATTTATATAACATGGATTTTGAAACATTGGAGGGTAACAATTCTTTGAGCTACTTAAAAATTCCAGCATAATGTTATTTTTATAGATCCAAAAGATATAATGAAGATGGATCTTTATTTCTAAAAAGTAAACTTTTTAAATTTTCAAGGAGATTTTAAGATTTTGTGTAATAAATCCAATCTTCTCTTTTTCAATACTTTATGAAATTAAAAAAAATATCTTATAAGGTTTAAGGTCAAAATGACTTTCCAAAAGTTTTAACACTTTGTAGTTACATTAAGAGCATATTTTTAAATTTTGATATTATTCTTCTTCAAGAACATAAGTTATATGGATCAAGGATTCAAGACTTAAATAATTTATTCTATTTTAATATAGATTATTATATTTTATAATCAACTTTAAGTTAAAAAATAATCTTCATGGTACAAGAGTTGGAGATACTTATATATTTGTTTTTCTAAAAATTAAATTACTAATAAAAAAATAAGGATGCATTTATGTTTAATAGAGTATTATGGATCATATTCTCTAATAATCTTAAGAAATATATTATAGTGATAAATATCTATGCATCTAATAAATAACAAAAAGATGCTAATTCTAGAAGATTGAGTTAATAATCTTCATTCTAGTATTTTATTCATATTTAGGAGAGATTGCAATATGGTAGGAAGGGCAAGAGATAAATCATATTTTTGTAGTAGACTATTATCTAAAGATAAAGAGATTTTTTTTTCATTTTTTCTTGTCTTTTCATAGTGGATGCCTTCTCAAGGTCGTTTATTGAATTATTTTTGGAAAAACAAAAAAAATAAATTAAAGATCCTAGTAAGGCTTGATAGATTTTATTTAAGTTCTATTTTTCTTTACAAATATCAAATTTATGACTATTATATAAGAGAAGATAGTGTATTATCTTATTACCTTATAACCAAATTTATTCTTCAACTATAAAAAACTAAATATAGATCATCTAATTTCAAAATGAGTATTTTACATTTAAATGATTCTAAGTTCTTTCAACAAGTCAAGAAGATTTGAACTTATTATAATAATAAAGAATCTTTTATTTATTGCATGCAAAATTTTATACACTTTTAAAAGTTTTTTTTGTAAAGAATTAGCATAATTAAGATAAACATAACATTTCATTGGTAATGACTAAATTTCCATGATTAACTTTGTTTTAATTATATGTCAATTTTTACTTGGCGTCTTTAAAAGATATATTTATCTTTTGCACAAAAAAGATGACAAAAAAAATTAGGCAACTTAAGGCTTATCACCTTATTAAATACTTCTTAAAAAGTTTATATTAATGTAATCTAAAGATAGTTCTACATAATTTTTCAAGGAAGTTATTTATTTTTACTAAATAACGTTTTTTTCTTTGAAGTTTATCTAAGATGATATATTGGTTATGTAAGGACCAAAAATTAGACCAAGACTTTAAAAAATCTTTCATTCTATTAATAATTAATTTTTCTGAAGTCTATGATAGGATCTCTTAATATTTTATGTTTAAAGTACTAAAATTACTTGTCTTATACAACATCTTTTTTTATATAATTAGAATTTTAGTCTCCAAGGTCCAAGCATATTATTAAGAATTAATGAAACTCTTACAAATTTATCTTTTAATAGAAAGAAATATAAGACAATAATATTATTTGATAACCTATCTTTTTATCTTTATTTAAGAATTTTTTAATATTTCTATTCAATATATTGTCCGATAACACCATTTATAAGATATCTCTATGCCATATAATCTTTATCAACAAGTTATTAGCCATTATGTTGATTACTTAAAAATTACAATTTATAGAAAAAATATATATATTCTCTATTTGGTGAATATTATCAAGCAGTTTAGCCTAACTTTAGGACTAGATCCATTGCCTACTAGAAATTTTAAAAAGTAGACATGCCACATTAATTAGATCAATTTGGATGGATATAGGAATCTAATATTGATAATTGTAAGCTTATTACAATCTCTTTTAATATTTATTTGAATATATATGATGTTGATCAAAATTTTGATTAATAAAATGATAATAAAATTAGAATATTAGTGATATAATTAAATAATTTGGCAAGTGAAGTCATAATTATAAATAATATTTTATTTTATTCAATATATTTATTTTTAGATATTTGATGTGATTCTATGAAGGCTATTTAAAAGATTAGATTAATGGTTTAAAAAAATAAAGGAGAAATATATTTTTTTAACTTGATCCAAAGTAGCATGGATTTGTTTGTTATAAAACTTATGAAGAAGATGGTCTTTGTATTATTGACCTAAAAGATGCCATCAAAGCTTTGTTGTCTAAATGGATATTAGAGGCTCTTCACCAAGCCAAAGAAATATTTAGCAATTTTTCAGATATTTATTAATGATGTTTAAATCAATGACTTTTAAAAATTGGATATTAAATCCAATTTTTCCATTCATTCTAAATCACAAATAGAATATTGGATCTAAAATGTGGAATGAAATAGAAATTTTTTAAATATATTTGCGTAGGTTTCTTTGGCTTCATTCTCTTACATCTTTTTATAATGTGAGGATTTTTTTATTTTTTATCATAGGATCCTAAATTTTTTTGTAATTTACATTCACTTAGAATCACATCAAGATGTTATTTTCAAATCAAACAATCTTCATTGTATTAAAAACCAATCTAAAGGGCCAATGTTTATAATGACTAAAAAAGAAGTTGTATCTATATACTATTTTTTGATATTTTATAGCTTTGTTTTAGATTTCTTCTATAATATTTTTCAATCTCTTAAAAAAATACACATCAATATAATAATTTCTTTTAAAAATTTAATAATCAGATTAAATTATATATTGAAATTTCATCTTTTTTTAAAATATAGTGTTATAATTTTTTACATAATATGTTTAAGTAGAAGAAAATAAATTATTTTTCTTATTTTATTCATTAAAAAAATAAATGAAAATAAAAAATTGAATAGGTACTCAACTTAGAACCTTCTACTTTGATGATATTTTTATGCTAAAAAAATATTTAGATGATATCAAAAATGAAATTAAAGGCTTTTGAAAAAATATTACAATTGTTTCAAAAAAAATCAAAAAAAAAAAAAAAAAAAAAAAAAAAAATGGCATTGATTTCTTCTATGATTTAGTCAATGAATTAAATTTTGATCTTTTGTCAAATTATTGAGTTATATGTAAAGAATTCATGACTTAATTTGCCAAACTTGATAGAAAGTTACTTCAATGAAATAGTTCTATTACTAATTTAATAGCACAATAATAGATTATTTTTCTTTATCAAGACTTTTTATTTAATTGAAATGATACTTATTCTAACTCTTGTTCCTACAAAATAGCTATGTTCCTTTGACTTATATGGCACAAATATGTAGCATTGTCAAGGACATGAATCTTGTAGAAAGAAATCCTCAATAAACTCTTATATCACTCAAAAGGACTAAAAAAATCACTCAAAGATGATATAGTCTTAAACTAAAATGGCTATTGCTAAAGACAAGAAGATTAGAAAGTTTTAAAATAAGACTAAGGACTAAAAAGGCATTAACAAGAGTGAAGAAGGCTTCACTCTTGTCTCCAATAATCTTTTAACTAGAAGCTACGTTGAAATGCCTCATAGAACCTTCAAAATGTATTGACTTTGCAAGGCTCATATCTTAACTTGCAAGGTAAGTTTTTTATATGTGCGCCACATAGTTAGTTTATTTTATAAGCTACCAACATATGGTTAACTTATTGATTAAGTTTTTAGCCCACCAATCAATTACAAACATATGTAAAGTCAAAGAAATATCTATGAAGCTTTTAAAAAGCTTTTCTAAAAAATATTATGAAATAAATTTATTTTTATTTATTTTATTTTATCATATAGATAAATATTAGAATAAATATGTATATCTTTGATATTATTCTCTCTTTTAGGTACGAATTCTATAAAGATTGATCATCATATGTTTAGAAAATTTAAGATGTAGCAAATTATATTTGTCACATACTTTGATCTTTATTCTCTTCCAAGATGGTTGATAGGTCCTCTCAGCCATCAATAATGTATCATACTAGGGTGCATAGACCACCCTATTATTTGATTGTTATTGAGGCCTTTATAACTCCCATCAAATAAAACATTTGAAATGCCATCAAGAGTTGTTTCTACCTCTAATAAAATCATCAATCATCAAGAGTCTCTTCTAATGTCATCATATTAAATGTGTTATATCTTCTCATCTATTTAAAGAAAGACATGTCATTTTTGATAATTTTTATTTTGATTATATTTTCTTGAAGGTTGTGATGATCACAATGTCTTGTCCTGTAAGTCAATAAGTCATAACTCTTCAATTGAATTTGTTGGTTGTTGGTTCTTTATTTCCTTAGCATTACAAATACCAAAAAGTTACAAACTAGAATAGAAGGTAGAATGCTATCTTCTCCAAATCTTGTTTCTTTTATAGAAAAGATTTGTTATTCTTCATCTTAATTATAATAGATGTTATTGATAAAAAAAAAATCGATTATCTTTGATATATTTGCAAGATTTTTTGTAGGCTCTTATATGCATTCATTAATATCATATCCACACTAATGAATGAGATATTCTAATCTATTTTGGTGTCGCCTTGAATCTAAGATTTCTTCTCCCTCATACTCTTGATTATTATCCGCTTATATAAGAAAAGGTGGCATTTATCTTTTTTACGAGATGTTTACTATTTTATATGGATCAAAAAAGGACATATGAAACATAGGATAAATTTTCATAGACTCTAATAGATATAATCAATATGTAATAAGATTGACTTGTTTTTAAATAAGAAAAGATCCAATTTTATGATAGTCCAACTTATTACAAGGATGAATTATCTTGATATTACAAAAAAATAGCCATATCTTGTCACTTATGTTGAATTGTCATTGTTTCTTATAATAAGCATCTACATTGATCTTTTGTCGTTCTTGAGCTTCCTTTAACTACACCTTCACTATTGTATGTAGCTCTAATAAATAATTTGCCAAATCTTCTATTACAAGATTATTAGTTTTTGAAAAGTAAAAAATATCAAGTTGTGGATGATAACTATAATTGGTAAAGAAAAATATTTATTGAATAGAAGAATATATCAAATTATTATACATAAATTCTACCAATGGAAAAAAAATTGTCATATCATTTTGATGATAATTGATGGAACACCTCAAATATTGCTCCAAATCTTGATTCATCTATTCTATTTGTTCTTCAATTTTAAGATAGAAAGTTAAAGAGAGCTTTATATCTACTTTTAAAATCTTAAAAAATATTCTTTAAAATCTTGATACAAATAAAATAAAAAAAATCCATATTAACAATACATATTGTCAAAAAAAAACTTAGTCATTTCTTTACTTGTGATAGATTTTGTACATGGTACAAAATGTGCCATTTTGGCGAAATATGCACTATAAATATATATATATATATATATATATATATATCAAATAAAATTTTAAAAAATAAAATAAAAATAAAAATTCAATAGACATATTATAACCATCAGCCTTAAACTTAAATTCTTAAATCTTTGTCTCCAAAACCTTAAAATTTAAATTTCTAACCATAGTCCTTGAAGTTATTCAATTATTGGTTTTATCACTTTATTTTCTACTACAATGCAAAATCTTAAAAGAAGAGTAAGGAAGTTTGACCACAAAAAATGAACATTATATATGTATTTATTCTAGCTATAGTTAAAAATTATTTAATTAAAGGGTCACAAATAGAATAGTAAAATTACTAGTGAAGTATAGACCAAGACTTATATAAGATATAAAATTATCCTTAATTTTTTAAACACCAAATGTAGTTTAGACTATTATTGTGAAAGAATCATGGTATAAGATATAGCAAAGATGTGGTGTAGGAATAAAAACTTGTTTTCACAAATCACTAAGTTTTGTACATGTTGAGTGTGGTTTGAATAAATATAAACAAGCACAAAAAATAAATAAATAGGAACTCTGTTGAATCAGTTAACCTTCAATTGTTAGTATCTTTTTGTCAACATATTTGCAGGGAGATGATCTACTTTCTTTTTTGCTGTTGGGTTGACTATTACGCAAATTGAGTATTCTAAGTGTGGTCTCCAAGAGTAGTCAATACTTTTCCAAAAGCAGGCCACACTGCCTGAAAGTTCAGCCATTGTTCATAGTCCACTAATAATGTGGTCACAGCCGAATGATAGAACGTCAGACCACAAGCGTTCTCCTTCATTGGCCTGGTAAAATGTAAAAATTTATGAAAGACCTATGTTCAAATCGATGTCATTGTGTTGAATTCAAGAATTTAGCTTCAGAACAAGAACGAAAAAAAGAGAAGATAAAATTGGTGCTCAGACTACTCTAGTCTCCGCAAAAACGCAAGAACCCGTCCGTGCACACTTTTCTAATACCTACTATTCTCACAAGGGACTCGCACATGGGATCAGCACAGCTTTACAAAGTTGACACAAGTATGCACGTGGGTGGCTCTCAATTAAGTTTGATTCTACACAACTGCCTCACTAATTCTATCAAAATCCACAAAAATTTGCAACGTGAGCTCACAGAGTCGGTGGAGCTGCACAGACCTGGTTCCAACTTCCCCCACCAAGTTATCTGATCCACTCTGTGTCAGACATCTGAATGGTTCTGCTCGCAGTCGAAAGTAAGCCGTCTCTGGAGCCTGATGGCGTGGAACTTACAAAGACCGCGGAGTTTCGGTAGCTGTTGCCAGAAGCAAGATCACAACTAGAGCTAGAGTAAGGGACCAGAGCATCGAACCGGTTGTTCAAGCGACTCTCGTCACGCAAACGAGTCAGCTCCAAAATCTCCAAATCCATGTCACCTTGTAGCATGGCGACGACGCGGGACATGTTTGGTCGCCGATCCGCTGATGAGTGCACGCACAGGAAAGCTATGTTGAGGAATCTCTGCAACTCCATCTCTTCGTCTATTTGGAGATTGAGGGTGGGGTCTAAGAGTTCCGTAACGTTGTTTTCGTCGAGCAACTTCCATGCCTGGTGACGTGACAAAAGAGTAGTTTGAGAACAGTATCAGACAGAGAATCTCCGAAAATAGAGGAGTGCTATAGGTTTAAGGGAAGATGAGAGATGAATCAAAACTTGGGTTTAGAAAGCCGCTCACCCATTCGAGAAGATAGACTTTCTCCTCCGGCAGCTTCATGTCTATGTTTCGTCTTCCACTTATGATCTCAAAAAGCAGGACACCGAAGCTGTACACATCAACTTTCTCGCTTAATTGTCCCAGTGTTGCATATTCCGGAGCTAGGTAGCCTCTGCGCAATGAACACGATTTTCATGTCAGCTGGAGGTTGAATGTGAAGCGAGCTGAGAAAAATTGCCCATGTAAACAAGTGACCTATTTAACCCTTGATAGTTCGTGTTCGGCCCCAAATCATCAAGAGTCTCGGAAAGATGCCTCGGAGGCATCTTACCTGGTGCCGGCAATATGGATAGTCATAACGTGGCTCTGATCGTCTGGAAACAGCAGAGCTAAGCCGAAGTCTGCAATTTTGGGCTCCAGATTCTTGTCTAATAAAATATTACTTGCTTTTATGTCACGGTGGATGATTCTTGGCTGCGCTAGTGAATGTAAGTAGTGGATGCCGTGAGCAACTCCAAGGCATATATTTCGACGAATAGGCCAGCTCAGGTTGATGTTCCGCTTATGTTCTACATGAGTCAATCACAGATGTGCCGCGTCAGAAAGCCTACAAAATGAGTGGTGTTATAGCGCAGTATGGAAAGATGACAGAATGGGCCACTCACCAAATAGCACTTGCTCCAAGTCACCGAGTTCGACATAATCGTGGACCAGCAGGCGCTGGTCCTTACGTATGCAGCATCCTTTTAGTTTCACAAGGTTGCGGTGCTTGACAGCTGCAACTAGAACAATCTCATTCAGAAAGACATCTAGGCTTTGCTGGGATTTCGTAAACAGTTGCTTTACAGCAACTTGGGTCCCATTGGGAAATGTGCCCTGAAATTAGAATTCAAGAGGACGAATCAAAGTCAGAATTTGTTTATCTCGGGCTCAATATCTTCAAAGCCTCATATAAGTCACTTGGAATAGAAGTATATCAATGAGTGCTTGCAATAATCTCAATTCTTCTGCAAGCCGCTGCATTGCCTTACCTTGTAAACCGCACCATAGTGTCCCTGTCCAAGCTTCACGTCTGGGTGAAAATCATTAGTGATCGTCCGAACTTCACTGTACGTGTAAATTGTTGGCTTAACTTCATATTCTGCGAATTCTGTACAAAGTCGGGCATCAAGCAATGATGTTCAGTTGGTCATTCCTACAGAATTGAATTTCGCACACAGTGAACACAATGGCGAAGGAAAGTGGTGTCGGGAAAAGAGAGTAAATACCAGAATCCGGATTGACCAACTTCTGACCATACCAATCTACTTCTTGCAGCATCACAGGATTGAAATCTTACTTTGATTAGCTTCGCATATGAGCTTTCTTCTTTCTCTCCTGCTCTTGCAGAAAAAAATACCGTATGCGATGTAACAGAATAATAACGATGTGGGTAGGGTCACAGCTATCACAGTGATGATAATCTTCTTGCTATTCTCGACCTCCTCTGCCATACCGAGAACCATCGTAAAATTTATAAGAACAGAGAAATAGAACTCATGATGTGTTTGCTGAACACCATACATCCTTAGCTTGAATGTGCTGTAATCTGAAGGTATCAAACTACATGTATTAATCTCTTACCGGTGTAGAAGCATTGTTGGTGGCAAACACAACGTCTTAAATCATTATCTGATTTGCCGGCGAGGTCACAATACGGATTGCCTGATAGACTGCCATCCAAGAAATCAAAGTAAAACATTAGTGCCCAATTCTCTGTTCAAAAAATTTGATCCAATTACCCATCAAAGATGAAAATGAGAATGGATATGAAAAAATGAAATCATTCCAACATTCTCCCAGCAGACATAGCTGTTCAGATAACGATGGTAAGTGGAACTCACTTGAATTTGATGTTGAGGTTGTAGACGTAATCAGAGTATGCAACATTCGAAATCTTGTTATTTGTGAGGCTAATTAATTTCAGACTCCGGCTCCGATTGGGCACAGCAAGAAGGCGGTTGATGTCAAGCGTCCCTGTCATGTTGTTGTCATCTAGACCTCTGTCGATCGTTTCGCAAAGTGTAAATAACTGTGAGTCTTTGAGGAACACTTTCTATCGACAAGAAAGAAAGCTTGCTGAGCCTAATAACTTTAAACTACCCAAGGCACCATGAACAGGGGGCAAAGTAATCTTACAATGTTTGCAAGTTCTCGAAACCGGCAACGATGGATGAAGGAACAGAACCCGTGAATGAGACTCCCTTCAACATTCTGCAAATATGACGAGTAAGAAGTCATTAAGTAGTTGATCAAAACAACTTATTGAACAAAACAGGATGTGTGCAATTAATCAGCCCAGAATGGAACATGGTGCATGGTAAACTATTTCCAACCGACATATCTCGGTAGTTAGGTGGCACTTACAACTTGCGCAAGCTCCTGAAGTTGTTAGCCCAAGTGGGAAAAGGTTCAGGCGTGAAATTGTTGTAGCTCAAATCTCTACAGGCAAATGAGAAAACGAGTTAATTTCGGCACAGAAAACACACTGTAGCCAGTGCACACACTCTGACGCAGACCTAGTTTCAGAAAATGCAATACCCACTTACAAGTACTCCAGTTTTTCCAACGTGCTCAAATCAGGAATGGTGCCTGTAAATTGATTTCTTGAAAGGTCCAACGTGGTTAACGTGGAGATGTTGGATAGCAATGCTGAATCAAGTTCTCCTGAGAGTAGGTTTTCACTGGCGTTGCTGCAAAGAGAGCTTAACATACTTAATTCAAGACTTCGGTCCACCATCCCTTCTATTCACGTAGATATTATCTTGAGCACTCTTGTTCGATATTCAGTGTTAGTGCACAAATAACTGAATTGAAGCTACACCTCGTCGGTCATTTCACCGTTCATGTAATAGAGAATGAATGAACTCACAAAAAGCGAATTGTTCGGTGTCCTGACATTGTGGGAAGCGAACCATTGATGAGGTTGTTTGAAAAGTCCCTGAAACCAATTCAAAAATGTCAAATGAATATGCAAACACACCACCGCCACGTTCATGGAGTGATCAACTTCAGTCACCAGTTTCGATAAAAAGTAGTGTACTTACAGGTCTAAAATCTTAGTTTTGTTCGGATACACCAACAATGGAAGGCCACCAGTGAATCTATTGGAAGAAAAATCCCTGCAAAAATGCCACCGCATCAACAGAGTTAATGTTGCAAAGCTCCTTTTGAAATGCATTGAAATATACTTCTGTGTCTTTGAATTCAACATGATATTAAAACTCTGAAACTCCATCATGAAAGCGCTGATATGTAAGGTTCTTACGCTGACACTAAATTGCCAAGGTATATCAGCAAATCGGGTGGTATCTCCCCTGAGAATAAGTTATAAGACATATTCATTGTTTGTAAAGTGCGATATGAGATGCTGTTGTTCTCTGGAAGCTGTCCAGTGAGCTGATTGCCACTCAAGTCTCTGCAAAGAAAGTACACGAATAACAACTCAGTGATTTCCATGACTTATATTGTATGAACCCATAAAAAAGATTAGCAAAGATGTTGAAAATATATAAAATTCTCGTGGCTTACAGGGATTGAAGAAACCCAAATGATTGGTAGAAGAATTTGGGAATAGGTCCCGTGAAACCATTGCCATGTAAATCTCTGAAAAAGAGCGATATTTGACAATTCATCAGAAGCAAGAAGATATCACGGTCAGTAAATATTGTTTGGAGTGCTTCTTCCGTTCAGCTCAACAGACAACGACTCATCAACCTTCAGAGCACCAAGCAAGTTAAGAATTATAAAAAAGTTGCTTACATGTCGAACAAACTCAACAAGTAGCCGAGCTCTTCAGGTAGAGGACCTGTTAGTTCTGGATTGTCAGTGAGGATTCTGCAAAAAATGCACACAGTAAATGGTATCAAATTAGCAGGAATATTAAATTGACCTAATTGAAGAAAAAATCACAGGCCTGGTTGCACTCCACACCGTTGGATAAACCCAACAGTTGAGAATAAACTAATGCGGGTCACGACCTTGGTCATCATCGACTTACAAAGTAACTAAATTGGTAAGGTTTCCAATAGCCGGTGGTAATTTGCCAACAATCGAGGCGTCTCTCAACGTCCTGACGCAAAAAAACAAGTGTACATTAGAAAAGCTCGCAACAATCAGTGAGGTCTACAGTCGGTGATCTTAAATTGCAAACATCCGGCTTAGAGCTACGACTAATTCTGTACCAAAACAGAACAAAAAAGAAAAAACCAGCTCGCTGAGTAAAATGCTTACAAGCCCACAATCTCAAAGTCCCAGACATCTCTACCCCACTCTGACTTGGGCTTTGCGTTACAGAAGACGCCTCGCCATGGACTGGTCTGGGCGCACGGAGGATACGTCTTGACAGCCCCATTCCATCCCGCCAGGTTGTGCTGCCCGTCTGGAGTGCTCTGGCTCCATTCCGCCCAAAGTTGCCCCAACGCGTATACTGTCAGAATTACACAAAAGACTCACATCATGCATCAAAGACTGTTGTGTCTTGGAAATCCAGGTACACGCACAAGGAGGGAAACCGACGAACGAAATGACAAGCTCTACTTCAGAGGCTAATCGATGACTAGGATCAACGAAGCGGAGTCTCACGATCGTTATCGGCGTAATGGTTGTCCACAGTCTGAGCCGCAACTAAGCTCGTGCAGAGTTGGTAGAGGTAGAGCAAACTCAATAGAATCCCATATGAGGCCATCTAGCCTACACAATCTTAACAGCTCCTGAGTAGAGTAGCTTGCAAACTCAAAATGAAAACTTCTAGACCAGCCATCAATCGCCGCCACGAGTCCCTCAATCTCCAATTCCCATGTTATCAAAATCCTTCAAATCGTCTCCTCCAGATTCGACAGGTACAGTCTTCGGCGGCCTAATTCTCAAAATTTCTTTCCAAGTGGTAGGCGGAGACAAACTGTTCAACCGTCGACTAGTGATACGAACCTTCCCTCCCTCCTAGTCTACATGCATGAAAACAAATACACAGTTTCCTCGCACCAGGGAATGCAGACATCTCTCAAGCAATTCTAAGATTCCCCATAATTCTAGCAAGCATCACCACAATCACTCTTCCCGTGGTTCAGGCTCGCAGCTTCACGTCAAAATTTTCAAGCAATTCTAAGATTCCCCATAATTCTAGCAAGCATCACCACAATCACTTTTCCCGTGGTTCAGGCTCGCAGCTTCACGTCAAAATTTTCAAGCAATTCAAAGATTCCCCACAATTCTAGCAAGCATCACCCAAAATCACTTTTCCCGTGGTTCAGGCGCGCAGCTTCACGTCAAAATTTATCCGCCAACTTTCAAGTGGGATCGACCACCATGTTCGAATCATCGATCTATAGAACAATCCCAAGGCTCCAAACCCCTGTCATGGATACATACACGAGGATCGTTTACTGCCACTGGCCCCAACCACACCAACAACGTCTGAAATAGAATGAAACACCAATATGCTCCAGCAGAAACGGGCACTCCTACAGTGGCGAGGTTAAAGTTAGAAAGAAACATGGTCTCGCTTTTCCCTTGAGCAGTGGGAGCTGTCATCGTCATTTACTAGTTCCGCGAGAGCGTTTAAAACATTTCTGCTGGCGCGAAGAATCTAAGTATCCCACTTTAGACCCACCCAACGCTCAGAGCTCCATTCGCAGTAAACATACAGTATCCATCTCCTCTCCAAAAATCCCTCCTCGCCGTCCAAAACAGAACTTCACCTGAACTCGAATTAGAACGTATTTGTCACCGCCAAAGCTTCAGAAAGTGGAAGAACTTCCAGGCAATCCAACACTACCTCGATTTTTTCCTGTCCTATAGTTGATTATGAACAATCTAATGCAGAGAAAGGAAAAGACTGCAAACCGACTGCACCTGCTGGGAACTGGAACACGTCCACACCATCTCCTGCATTTCCACAATCACATCACTGACACTAGTCTCACTCGAACCAACACATCGTCAGTCGGGGGCCACCACAAACAACGCTAGTGAATCCTCCAGGTGGATGCGATTCCTGAAACCGCGACCGGATCAGATGATTCCGCGACGAAAACCCCATGGAACATCATTCATAAAGTTAGAACTTCGGAGCGGAAGTTTCTGCAGTGGGGTCCATTCAGAACAATCCTTGAGCTTGCATTGGTCAAGCGGCGGTTGAACATACGCAATTGCAGAGTGATCGTGTCCATTGCGGAGTCGCGGAGGCTGTAATTCCCACAGCCCCGAAGTTCATTGACACGTTTTTCACCGAGTCCCTGAAAGTGGCTGCGCCGGCTGACCCTGAGACCCGTAAAATCTGCTCATCTTCCTCCATCCGTGTCACGATTCGTATCTGCCTCAGGTCTCTGTTATTTTTTTCTTTTATTTTTTTGGAACGAACGGTGGTTTTATTAATAGAAGTTAAGATACAAATCAGTCTGGGTCCCAGAAGTAGGAGGATAGTGCCGCTAAAGCTGGGGTCATTACCAATTGAACTCAGCGGAGGCTACCTACACCAAAGACTTGTGAGCTACACCAGACTTGGTCTAAGTCTTGGGGCTTGTCAGCAAGAGCAATACAGTATCCATGTCACGTAGAATAATTGAAGAATTCTGCGGCTTCTATGGGCGCGATCTTGCGCCACTTCCATTTGGCTGGGTCGTATGCAAGTGAACGCACAGTACCCATGCACCATATAGGGCCGTTGTATCGGGTGTCTGGATTTACCTGGATGGTGCGGAGGTCCTCGGTCGATGTGAGTTCTCGTATCCTGTGTAGGTCGAGGCTGGTGATGTCAACGTCCGGTTCAGCACTCTAGCGTGCGTAAGAGTGGGCCGAGGTGGTGCAAATACAGCACCTTCATGCCGAGGGTTTGTTATAGGAACTGGATTCCTCCGGCTGGGCATAGTGTCGCGACCCAGTCAAAAGGTTTAAGAGCTGGGTGTTGGTTCATACTCCAGTGGTTGGGTATGGAGTCTAAGAGGTTCCTTCCGCTTTGATCTGTATTTCGGGGGCCTATGGTTTGTTGGAGCTCGGCTGTGGATTTCAAGTCCTTCCGTTGGTCATGCCAGAGGTCTTTACGTGCTCTCAGATGAGTAATGAGTAAGGGGCATCTCCCAACATATTTCGGTGGGAGTCAAGTATCTCTCCGTTCCAAAAAAGACATTGACGAGCTGTAGAGTCGATTGTTGGAATTCTAGTACATGCCTGCCAAATTGCCCACCATAAGTTGGATCTGAGTCCTCTAACTTCTCTAGCATAAAAAAACAAGTTTACTTGAGGGAGCCATTTACCTCCGCATTTTGAGTAAAGTGAGGTGATGTAGTAGCATAAAAAATAAGTTTATGTGAAAGAGCCATAAAGTGAAGTGATGTAGTGCTTAATGAACACATGCCTCTTATGAACAAAATGAACAAAATTCCTCTTATGAAAAGTTTGGCTAGGAGGGCTTACATTTGAACGTGAGGGTCCAAAAATTTCAAGTCTCTTAACTTATGAGGTAAAATCAAAACTTTAGCCTTATTCTTACTCTATCTTGTTTTGAGTAAATGTAGTTGATTGTGAGAGTATGTATCTTGTTAAGTGAACTTGTATGGGAACACCAATAAGAGGCTATATACCACAGTAAGGTGAGTAGTATTTGGTTAATAATTAGTACCTTGCTAGCTAAAGAAGTCTTCTTTTTAACAAACCTAGAAAGAGAGCAAGATGATATCCTTATCTAACAAATCTAGTGAGTTTGAAAGGAATGCTTATTGATCCACTTAGGCCTACTAAACACCAAGAGTCAATGCATAAGGCTTGAACTCATTTAATTTATTGAGTATCAAAGCCTAAGGTTGCCATAGTGCTTTCTAAAAAGCTCCATTTGACTCTATTGTATATTTTTTCAAAAGTCTAAGAATAATAAAACTATAAATTGATCCAATTTTATGATCCAATTAATGATTTCAAAGGTTAAGAAGAAATTAACTATAATGCTTCTATCTTTTAGAAAGCTAGTTTGGTTAGCCTAATAATATTTTAAAATATAGGTTATAGTCTCTATGCCATTGTCTTAGCTAATATCTTGTATATGGTGCTTAATAAAGTAATTGAACTTCAATTTTTTTAATTAATTTTGTATTTTTTTTAAAAAATTCAACAAAATAATCCAATGCTAAGGTGGCAACAAAGAGTATCTAGCAATAATGCTTTGTTGAAGACTTCTAATAAGTTGTCTCCAATAGCAACTCATATTTTTAAAAAGAATTCAACTAGTAGTCTATCACTTCCTAGAGCACATCTACTTAAAAGTGTCTTGAAGGCCTCATACATTTCATACTTAGCTAATGGATTTATAAAAAGAAGATTCATCTCAATTGTTAACTTTTGAGATATATTGCTTTAGTAGTAATTTTGTACAATTAAACACCCCTAAGACGGTTCTTACAAGGAAAAAAAGATCTCATAGCACCCAATTGCATAGTCAGCCATGGCTTCATTGGTGTCATATTCAAAGCCATCATCATCTCTTAACAATTGGATTGGAGGGGCTTAGTATGTTTTTTGCACATTGAGAAAGAGTTCCTTCCTCAATTTCCTACCAAATTGTGACCTTCTAATAGAGTTTTGAATGGCATATAAGTCAATATATACTATCTTATGTTTTGTTATTTTTTTGGATGGCCTTGTTCTATATTGCCTATAAGAAACTATCTTGAGGTTGTTGTTAAAATAAGCATTTTTTTGGAAAAATAGTTGTATGGAATTAGATGTTGCAATCATTATGCACTTTGGCTTTGTGCACACCTTCCTTTTGATAAAATTGCTTAATTTGCAAGAGAGCTTCTTAGATCCAAAGGTACAATCTTTAAGCTCTTATATTGGATTTTGATTATATGTTCTAGTGACAAGTGAGATGTCAGATCATTTTTGAGTCTTTAAAAAAAATATATATGAGGTTGAATTTGAAGTAACAATCCTTCTTTAAGCTCTTCCATGAGCTTCTAATAATTAATTGGACTAAGCAATGATCTAAAAAATCATTGAATCTATCCAAAATTTTGATTTAATTGTCCTTGACTTATTCCCAACCATCAACGTAGAAGAGATCTAGTTTAGCTAACTAATGATCATTGGTAGATTATTTGTTGGAGCATAATAATGGCAAAGTTTTTAGTAATTAAAGTCATCACGCATCCAAGAATCTATAAGGCTATGTTGAAGAAGTAAAATATCATACGCTGGTTGTTCTTCAAAGCATAGGATCATGGTAGAGTTATTATTGCCACCTATCTAATATTGACCAAGTTAATATAACCATCGAGTATCTATGAAGGTGCTACAAGAAGACTTGCAATGACTGCATGCTAGAAAGTAGTGCATTTGCTCCCTTAATTAGGATCGTAAATGTATAGAAAGTCCATGTATTTTTATTTTAAATTAAAAAAATATCTACTAGACTCCTCCTAACATTGGCATTTTGTATCTACAAGCTTATATTTCAATGTTGTATTAAAGATGATTCAAATATCCCTTCTACAGCAATTGGAGGTGAGATTCTAAATTGCTTTGTTTCATATGCTCTTGCCATTTTTTATACCTAAGATTTTGATTTTTTTACAAAGTTCCCATGACATTTTGTGCTCGTAAATGAAGATTATGTTTGATTCTTTTGAGCATATATTAGCTCAAAATCTACTCCGTTTGGATTTCTCAATTGTGATATTGAAGAAATCTTACACATTCCATATAACAATGTATACATTCTTGTCAACCATCGACAAGGATTGATATAGTTGGTTCAATACTATCCTACAATAGAAAAAATATTGGACTTGTCTTGAGGAAGTGGACGGCATAGAATTTTATGTTTGAGTACCATCACATTGTGAAGTCTATGTATAATTATGGTATGAAGATAACTACAATGTGTTGTAAACTTGAGACTATTATCTTACTCATTGTCAAATGATGACTTTTGAAGATAGGTGCTTGGTAAGAGGCATCTTTGAATAAGAACCATAGTGAAATTTTACTATCAATTATTATTTTGAATATTTAAACCAAGTCTTATGACATAATGGAAATGTGTCAAGGACAAGAACATGATAAAGACAAATAAACAAATGAGACTTCTCTCATAGAAAGATGACAAAATAGAAATAATTTGATAAATATATATATATATTAAGAAAGAAACTAGAATGGCTATTGCCAAAAGACAAGAAAACTAGAGTCCCTTGAAACTAGATTGGAAGCAAGAAAGGAGTTGACAAGAGTGAAGAAGGCTTCACTCTTGTCTCTATATATACTATCTAACTAGGGGCTACGTGGCGACGTTCTATAGGACCTCTAATATGTATTGACTTTGTAAGACACATGCCTTGACTTATAAGGCAAGTTTTTCTATGTGTGGGCCACATAGTTAGCTTGGTCTTCAAGCTAACAACATGTGTGGCACATGATCAACTTGTTGACCACGTTTCTAATCCCAAAAAGTCAATTAAAGACACCTATAAAGTCAAAGTAGTATCTATAAAGCTTCTAGGAAGCTACCATACCAAATACTATAGAATTAATTTATTTTTACGTACTTTTACTTACTTCTACCTATTTATACATGTAATTATTGGCTTACATGCATGTGTTCGTGACAAAATATGGACCATGGGCCATAGAAGGCAATTCATGTCATAGTAGACCACCACATACTCGGTTGTCCATTTCAAAGTAATATGCAAGATTGTATTGATCTATATCATAGAAAAAACTAAAAATAAATAAATAAATAAATAAATAAAAAGTCTCAATAAGAGGCAACAGTGGATGATGGATGGAATTGATTATGAAAAATTGGTGTTATTAAATGAAATAATTGTATCACTATCTATGACATCTAGCAAGGCAAGTGTAGTACATTTTTCTTTTCATGTACATTTTTTGGTAGCCAATCAATTGAAAAAATTGTCTTTTATATATAGATTTGTTTTCAAGTGGTGTACACCTACTAAAGCTATGTTCAAAGGTTGTTCATCTTTAGAATCGATGCCTTAGTGAATGACT